TATTTGCAATTAAAAAGATAAAAAACAAACATTTCTCAAGATTTTTTCAAAAGAATCATTTTATCCCAAAATGAAATTTGATAAAAAATGTTGAAAAATACTTATATGAATTTTAAATAATTTAGTAAGAATGTGCGTTTGTTAGCTGTTCAAGGCACCAATACATTTTGCCTGTATTTCACAAAGATGATTTAATGCTACAAGCACACATACACACATAGTCTGTATCATGCTTAAACACAATCTTCAGACCTGAAAATTGCATTTAAGCATGAAACAGATTGTCACCAGTGGGTGTTGACCTTAATTTTCACTTTTATATTTACACATGCTCTATCTCTGATATTGAGCACTTTAATCCATAAATATAGCGTTTCCTGCTTTTTCCTGTTGTTTCCTGAGCAAGTAAAGAAAGTACATGGTCAGATTTGATTATGCAAGTCAATTGTCAATTGTTTCATACTAAAATTGGTATTAAACAATAGTTGTTGGTAAAACTTTCAGTGTATATTTATGGAAGCAAAATATTGTGGGAGTTACAGCTTATAATATATTTTTCTTATTAAAAATATTGACAATAAATTTTGGTGGGAGATGTCAGCTTTTATTATGCAAACAAAGGGCGACATAAATATTTATTAATAAATAAATCCAAAAGGTATTCCATAGAAATATATCTATTTGTTAATCACAATATCCTATATACTTGAATAAATTATTATTTTACGTATTAAGATGGGCTCAATTTACATTCTATAATCTTCATCGATCTTTGAATAGTTGATTTTTGTTAGCCTTTCTACAGTTTAAAATTTAATGTAATTGGCAACTGTTCTTATTGTTTTCCCTTTTCATATACAGCACTTAATGGACTACAGGTTTTCTATTGAATTAATATATTGAGAGTTTAAGTGTCATGCCATTAATTTGATGTCTTTGAAACCATTTTTTAGTATAGTGATAAAATGTCATCTTTACAGAATAGAGGAGCATAGTATTTTAGAAGAATTTGGCTGCTTTTTGATTATCACCTGTGCCATTTAAAATACAATAAAAAGTCTTGTGCAACACCTTACTATAATTCTCTATATTTATCATGATACTATCATCAGCATTGAAAGGACCTATAATTTTACTTCTTACAGTAATAGATCAAAACATTACTCTGCTCTGTTATCATCTAAATCATATTGGTTGAATATTTCCTTAAAGGATCTAAACAAGGTCTCTAAGCTAATTTTCCACAATCATCCTCAAAATATTTTAAAATTTCCCCAAATCAAAATGTTGCATCGTTTTAATTTTATCATTTATTCTTTTGTTAGTAATATAATAAAAACACCATTAAAATGCTCAGAAAATAAATATTTACCTTGATTCATTCAATCTTTAAATCATAATCTTCATGTCCTGCCACAATTACTCGATCACTTGGTCACTGATTTCCTTGGGTTGTTATTGCTGAGCAGAAGGGCTATGAATATAGATCTGACTTTTGTTTGTAAAGTAACATCTCCAGTTTTAAAAGTTATTATAAATTTTGTTACAAAAACATTTTATAAAAATTGCATTAAAAATGAATTATATTGTAGTTAGTTTATTCCTCTCTTTTTTTTTTTTTTTAAAAAAAAAACAAAATATATATTTTAACTTTTTAAACATTTTTTTTTTTTTTTTCATATATTTATACATTTTTAATAGATGTAGTACAGGTTGAAACAAAAGTTAAATTATTAGAATTTTTAAAAATGAATAAATATGAAAACAAGTTTTACTGTAATTTTTATTGGAGAAAGATGTATGACAAAGTGGGAAAATTTTCTTGTGACATGTTTCATCCTTTAGGACTTCATTGGACTAAATTTGTTATAAAAATAGCAATTTTGTTTTTATTTGTACATTCCAATTAAATCAGATTGAATAACTTTATACAGAAATTTTCTTATTAATTGATTTTCATGCTCAGAGTAACTTTTATTATATTTTAAAAATTGTTTTCTCTGCATTCATTTTCTAAATAAAGAATATTAGTGCATTCCAGCTATTCATATTCAAGAAAGACTTTATTAAAAATTTTCCTTTACAATTGTGTCTTGTGTCCTGATAAAATTTGTTGTGTTTATGTTTTTTAAATGTTTTCTTCTATTTTCAGTTTAGTTTATAAATAGAATATATAATGCATAAATGTTGTTCTAATGTTTTTAAACAAAAATAAGTAAAAATATAATTTCTTTACTTTGTTTATTAAAGCAAACTTATTTCTTACTATTTGATCTTAATGTTTTTTATATTTAGAGATAAATAATACAAATATCTAAATTTAAGGCCCTCAACATTCATTTTCATTTGTTTTGTTTTTTTGTATGTGTGTTTGCTCTATTTATTAAAAGCCTGCTGCTATTAGTGAAAAGTAAGAATTTTTTAACACCTTAGAACTTTTAGAACAAATTTAATAGAAATCTTAATTAAAATTTTGTTTCATCCAATCATCCATACTAAAACCAACTCAAAGTTGCCCCAAACTAATGGGTTATTGTTGGCAAGACAATGTTAATCAGGTCCATTAGAATTATCATTTTGATTCTTTTTTTTTTTTATTCTCATTCATTTTAGTAAAAAATGGCATTGTGAAGTGTATATTTCAGATATATGCCTTCTCCACAAACACAGACACACACAATATTAGAGATGGGCAGTTTAGCCAAAAAAACAACATTTTTCGGTTTCATCTTCACGCTGTGAAATCCCTTTGAAATTTTACGAAACCAAAATCATTCGTTTTTGTTTAGTGCTATATCACTACTGAGTAACCATATCCAAAGAAACACTATTGAAAAAGACTTTCAAATGTTAATAAAAATTAAATTTTATCAGTATTTATACCGTTATTGTAAGAGAAAAAGATTGAACAAAAATATGTTAAAAACATTTAATTGACTAGTTTTAGGAAATAAATGTGAAATCTATTTGTTTACAAAAGAAATCAAGAAAAAAAGAAAATACGACAGATATAACACTTGGAAATCATAGAATGTTTTCAGACAGAAAAAAGGAAAATACAACATGATGTCTGAAATCTATTTGTTTTAGTATTAAAAAAAAAAACTCTTTTTGTATAAAATTAAGTTAACAATAAAATAGCGAGTAAAAATAAGAAAATAGTTGTCATTTTTGTCTTAATTTTAAGTCAGATTTTTTGTAAGGGTAATTGTTTTCTAGTATGTCAATCATGAAATAATAAAGTTGTTGTAAACAAGAAAAATGAATGAAGATTTTTTTATAAATAAATTTGTTTTTTATCTATGGAATGCACCTAAATTAGATGTTAAGAATAATTAAAATAGTTCTTAATTTCACTTTTAAAATGTGTATATTTCCAGATATGTAAGTCTCTAGTGTAAAATTTTTTGTTTTCTACAAATAAAATTATGTTTCTATCTAGTGAATACACCTAAAATTAGTAAAGTAAGTTTTAATCTCATGTTTTAAAATGTGCAAAATAGCAAATCATTTTTTTAAACCTAAAGTAAAAATTATTCTTTTTTAGCCACTAGTGTTCTGCCTATAAAATTCTTATAACAAAGAAAATTAATTCATTTTATTTTTACAAATATCTTTATGGTTTTATCTAGTGAATATAGTAAAATGATTAAAATAGTTTTTAATTTCAATTTTAAAATATGTATCTAAAAAGAACAGATGATACTTGCAAATTTGGAAATCTACACATTCTAAAAATTAAATTAAAAGCTTTAAATTATTTTTAATATTTAATTTTAGGTGTATTCACTAGATAAAAACAAACATATTTAAGGAAAAAAAATAACTCCTTGATTTTCTTTGTTTAGAAGAAATTTATTTGCAAAACCCCAATAACAAAATTATTTTTTTTTATGTTACTTTATCATTTTTGAAGGAATTTGCTTCCACAGGTCAGAGAAGAAATGAACATTTTGGTTGTGTTTAAGGTGTCTTCTAATTGAGTGTACAATTTCAATACTGATTTTGCAAAACAAAGTAACATTTTTTTTTGTACAATAACAATTTTTATAACTTGGAAATAAATTTGGGAATAATCAAAATTAATTGCGAAATCAGCAAAAGTCACCCATGAAATAAAAATAATTGTATGGAAAGTATGGACCTACGTATATCAAATTGTCTTTAAATTAAGTGGTGGCTGAAGAATTATTGTTGAACTTTTAAAAGGTAAGTTTAAATATTAATGCAGTACTCAATTTTGAGTTCTTCTGTACTTTGTCGCATTGACTCCTCCTTACCTATTGTAATGAAGTCCCAATCAAGGGCTCTCCGTAGGAGCTAGCTTAAATGCCACCCAATAGGGCAACATTTAAACTAGTTTTTAATAAAAAAAAAAAAAAAAGATGATATAAACTGTATTTCTGCTGGTATATTTATGGAATAAATATACATATATCCTGAAAAGTTGACTGATTAGTTGCTAAATGCAAATTTTATTGAGAAAACAGTGACTTGCAAAATAAAACCTGTCATTGTTCATCCAAATGACTTAATCAATTGTCTTGTTATTCAAACATGAGACACTGAGATGTTTAGAAATAAAACAATTCATGGTGACTGCATACTTTTTCTTATTTAATACCTTGTGAATAAAAGCAGCTTTAACTGGAATTAAAACAGTTTACAGATATCTGTTAAGCCACCTTACCTATCTTTTTCTCTCTTTTCATATATTGGGCTTAATGTAATCTTGCTTATTTGATGACTTAAGGAAATAAAGAAACTTTGAAATATGGTTTTAATTGTTCAAGAATGACTTTGTAGAATATGTGTATATTGTATCTAAGTGCATTGTTCCTAGTAATTCTTCAGATTTTATGGTAGCTGCTTTAATACTATTTCCCACCTGACTAACATTCATATTGTAAAATTTTCAATATTTTTTTTTTAGGAGTCCAAATTTACTTCAATGTAATCTTTGCTTTTTATTTCTACAAATTTGTTTTTCCTTTATTTAGGAAGAGGAATGTATAAAGATCTCTAAATACCTGGAGACACTGAAGGAGAAATACAACATACTCAATCAGGATAAAGAAGAAATTGAGTCAGAATCTAGACAAGCAGAAGAAGGCTTTCGACACAAGGAAATCAAACTTAGAGAACTTTCAGCCAAGCTGGAAAACTTCAGGGTTAGTTATTTGTTCAAAAAATTCCTATCTCAGCTATTTATTCTCTTGTTTCTATAAAGAATAAAAAAATCTATGCTTATTTGTGAAGTAAACACTTTTTTTTTTTTTAAATACATTTTCATTTGAGGCTTGAACTTTTGGGCCAGTTATCTCTGCTGAATAGTGCAGATCATTTTCATATCTATACGAATGTGCTGAAAATTTCTTGGCTTGACCTACTTACTGAAATAAAATAAAAATTACGGCTAACCCTGATGTTTGGTCAGCTTTTTGGAAAGAGGGTGTTTTTTTTTTTTTTTTCAGTCAGCATCAATTCTCTCTTGCACACATTTAAGTAATGAACAGAATTTTTAATCCAATATTATTTATCACCATAAATGTTATATTTAGTGGGTACATGAGTTTAAGTCAACTTTTTTTTTTTTTTTTCTTTTAACTGAAATTAATGTTTGCCAGCCTAGATGCCAGAAATCTTATTAAAGAAAATGTACCTCATAACAAGGATCAAACCTGTATTCCTGTTTTAATATGGAAAATTACTTTCCAGCTAGGCATACTTTGCTATTAAACTAGCGGAAGCTATAGCAACAAAGTGAAGAATTACTTCACCAACTCTCATTGAAATCTTATAATGTCTGTATCCACTAACTTTGTTTTCATACCTTAAACATAAACAAAGTAATTTTTAAGCAATTAATGGATTTTTTGTTAATGTTTCTTTTTACTATAAACATTGTATTTAGTGAAAAATACTTGTTGAGAAGCACAGTTTCTTTAGTAATACTTTCAGACTGGTAGACATTAATTTACTGTTCAAAAAAAAAACAAAAAAACTGGATGTTTACTGAAACATGTGTACCCACTAAATATAATGTTCCCAGAATCTCAAAATTTTCACATTGAAATCAAGCATATTCAATTCTGAGTGATAAACATCTTTGCCCAGGCCACCTACAAAGCACACTCTCTCAACTTCCAGCCTTATCTAATAGACATCTCTATATCTCTATGTTGGTTATTTTAGGGTTAGTATGAAAATGTTATTTGGGGATCTATCACCTAATGGAAAAATCACTAATGTCACATACTCAGAATCCCTATCAAATTAATAGACTACTTCATTTGTTTTGGGTATGTATCCAAACATCCTATGGAAGTAAATCCAGCAAAATATCCATGATTGAGTCCTTTTCATGAGCTTGGGGTACTTGCTTTCAATAAAATTAAAAACATTGGGAAGAAAGATACGGTCAAACAATTTCCACGCTTGTCTATTTTATCTAGCAAAATATTCAGCCTACTAGAACATAAGAATACCGACGACGTACGTTCACATACTGTCCAAGAGTTGGGGGTGGGGGGATTCCAACTAAACAAACTTACAGAGTTACAAATTAGGTTAGAATAATAAGAACACAAATAAATACGTTAGATTAGTCAAACAGAGGGAAAAAAATCATTTTGTGACTGTCATGAGCTTCATTAAACATTGACTGTTATATTTCATGTCTTATTTATGCAAACTTTTTTATCCTGAGTCAGGAAGTCATAATTTCTCATTGCTTTTGCTTTCTTTTTCACACACTCTATTTTTTTCTACTGCTTTTTCTTTGCATTGAAACTGCCCTTCTTAATTCTGTTTTGTTTTTTAATATTCTGCAATATTCATTTTTCAGGAGGACCATGCCAATGCCCAGACTGAATACGATGAGGCCAAATCACATCACATTCATTATGAGAATAAAAAGAAAGAACAGGAGAAAAAAATAACCAATATCAACAAACAGATTGATAAACTGCAAGCTGAAATCAAGGTAAAATCTCTTATCAAATGTACACATGAAGAGTTTGACAATTGCTTTTTTTTTTTTTTTTAATAATTTTTTGTATGTTTATTTTTCAAAATTGTTTTTATTTTTTTAATTATTCTTCATTATTTACATTATTCGGATTGTCCTCATCTTTGTCGCCATATTTATCACAACGTTTCGGTCGTTGTACGCTCCGGCCTTTTCAGGTGGTTGAAATTTCGAACTGAACCCTTTATTTCGCTCACTGGGGTAGACTGTTCTAGTTCCACGTGCCATGTTTGATGGATGTCAGTTATCAGTTATCTCCTGCTAATTTCCCTCTGAAAGTTCTCCACTGCCTTAACCGGGTATTGAACTCACACTCTTTGGGTCCTGTCACTGGATCTAACCAACGCCTTTATCCACTGTGCCATGTGTCCTTGAGGACATCTGGGTATGAATTTCTGGGTAACCTAATGTCTTCAGCAACCATTTTTACCAGTACTTATATTGCAATTTTGCTGTTATCATTGCATGTTTTTACCAGAGCTCATATTGCAACTTTGTTGTTATCATTGCTTTTCTCTGGCACTCCTTATTATTGGTTCCCATATTGTATTTATTTCTATGCTTGGTTGGCTCAGGAGATTTTTGTGGCCTAGCATATGTGCTGATTCCTTAAGTTTACGAATTTTCCAATGGTGTTCCTTGTCAATGATCTCAACATGATCCCACAGAGGGCAGTGATCTCCCTTCTTTCTCCATAAGTGGTCAGCCACGCCTGATTTTTCTACTTCCCCTTGTGTTACAGCTTTCTGGTGTTTTTGAAGCCTTACCTTGAGGGGGGCGGCCTGTCTCTCCTTTATTTTCCTTTCCGCAGCTGCACAGGATAGTGTACACACAGTCTTTAGTCATGTTCTCCTCAATGGTTCTCACTGGTGGTCTTATCCATGAGAGATGTCGCTGCTTTTGAAGGTTGTCCTGATGTTATATGGACAGCATATCCTTTGTATTTTCTCTGATAACCCCTTCACATAAGGCAGGCAGACTGTTTTCTGAGTGTTGTTGTCCTCCTCCTCTTGTACCCGCCTATCCCAGTTTTTGGGGGCTTCTGCCACGTACCCAGGGTAGTTGTTACGTTGTAGGGTACTACTTATACTAACCAATTCTTTATCTAATGTCTCTGGGCGCCACTTATGACTTTTGCTCGGTGTTGTAAGCAACGGATGATCCCTTTCTTTACGCTGTATAGATGGTGGGAGTTGAAATTGAGGTACTGTCCGGTTAATGACGGTTTACGGTATACGGATGCCTTAAACCCATGCTCTCTTCGAGATAGAACATCCAGGAATGGGAGTGTGTTGTTACTCTCTTTCTCCATTGTGAACTGTATCAAAGGTCTTATTGAGTTCACATGGTCCAGTAGAACCTGAACATCTTCCTGGTGTGGCCAGAGTATGAAGGTGTCATCTACCTACCATATAGTTGGCTTTAGATTCTAATGCCATTTCCTCAAAGTATTCCATGTATATATTTGCCATTGCTGGTGATAATGGCGAGCCCATTGCTAAGCTCTCATCCTGTTTATATATGTGAGCCCATTCCAAAGTGTGTTGTTTGTGTACAGAAAGTCAATATCTCCATCAGATTATCTATTGGAATACTGGTCCGTTCTTCTAGGGAAGAGTCAGAGGCCAACCTGTCTCTGACTACTGAGAGTGCCTCCTCCGTGAGTACCTTGGTGAACAAACTCACCACGTCCAAGCTCACCATCTGGTTGGATAGGATGGGAGCATCTTTGATTATTTCCACGAAATGGGCGGAGTTTCGGACATATGAAGGAGACTTTCTGATCAATGGGTCAATTATATCTACAAGGAAGCGACTCAGAGGGTGGCACACAGGAACTTGGCAACTAACAATCGGCCTGAGCGGAATACTGTCTTTGTGAATCTTAGGGAGACCGTATATGTGAGGTGCTTGGTGCAACGCTGCAATAACTGCCTATACGTCTTATGTGCGAAGTGATCCTTGTTCTTGATTAGGATCTGTGACAGATTATGCGTTTTCAAAAAATGTTGTGATAAATAAAATGATAAAGATGAGGACAATAGTCCGAATAATGTAAATAGTGTACATAATACCTCATCTCAGAAATATGGACAGACTCTTAATTATTCTTATTTAAAAAATCCCTTTATATTTTGTAAATTCCAATATTGAATTGCCATGTACAAAAAATAAGAGGATTTAATGAAAGCTTCCCCTCACCACAAGCCTCAATTAACGACAATATTTGACAATGAGAATATTTTTTGTTCAACTTTGTTGCAATAATAGTTAATGAGAAAATATTTTTTAATATGAAAAAAAAAATTGTTTAAATTCTGTTGTCAATGTTGCATCTTTTACATTTGTGATATTTGTTACTTTGGACTGACCTTTGATGAATTTTTTAATTTTGCTTTAACCACCCTCTACCCCTTTAATATTTGTCATTTACTAAAAAAAAATTATCTTCATAAGTTTAGCTGCAAATTTTCATGAATGCCTTTTGTATTTTACATTGATTTACCAGGACATGTGTCCTCATTTTGGTTGTTATCACAATATTTCATTAATTTTTTTAATTTAAAATTCTTAACATTCCTTGTTTTTGTACATGTGTCATTGCACCAACATAACAAATATGATGTCCTAATGGACAAAACTTGTCACACAAAAAACTCTTTCCACTTTTTTTTTCATTTTTCCCTATATATATATATATATATATATATATATATATATATATTGTTATTGAACTTGTAGCATATAGATGAACCACGGGTTCTAAAAAAAAAAAACGTGGTTTCTTTTCTCTCGGTCTTCACTCAGAAATGAAAGTGATGACAAGGGAATCAACGAAGAACAGACAAGATCTTCTGGATTTCAAAATAAAACATTTATTTATAAATATATATAACAGAGTAAAGAAAGAAAAAAAAAAAGAACATTCATTTAACAAAGGGGAGGACATCATTAAAGAATAGAAGGCGCGTCCTCCATACAAATATGAAAACAGATCAAACCAAACGAATCAACTTATCTTGCAGTCGGGTTCACATAAAGTTTTGATTCGGCCGGGCGAGAGTTCTGATGATAAAACAATATCTTGGCCGGCCCGACAATGTTCCTGGATTCTTCTTCTTTTCGCAAATGTTCGAGGGTCCCCAGCATCTCATGCAGGCGTTTGGTTGGGTCGGCCAGTTCCCTAGCAGTCCTTCCGACACTAGTCGACAGACTTTGCTCTCTTCCTCATCTCAGTGGGCGGTCTGACGATTTTTTGCCCAGCGACGCTCAACTGCCGCTGGTCAGAGGGAAACTGAGAAATCCTTTTTGGTTTTTGCTGTCCCCAACGACAGTCACGTGGGTTCCTTTGTGCCTTGACCGGATACGCAGGAGGATAAATATCAAATCACGCATTCATTTGTGATGGCCAAAAGTTCAACACATGCTCCAGACGTCCCGATCACGTGAATCGCAGCAGGAGACCCTGATGGTGCCTGGAATTCACTTATGGTCAGACGCGAAATCTTGGAACCAGGTCACTTACAATTCATTTCACTTCAAAGTTCACGGGCCCTTGGCTCGTGGGTGGAAGAGAGGATAAGGAGAGAAAGAATTTGTAAAGAGAAAGGAAGGATATGGCTGATCATAGAATATATTCATTTGCGAGTCGGAAGCATTGGATTTAATTTCTGTTTTTATTTATTTTTCTTTTATATCTAACTAGTTTTCTCTTTATTTAAGATTTTACTTTAGCCTAACGCCTATATGGTTAATGAAATCGTGGCTACATGACAATATATATATCTCCAAATGTAAAAGAACGAAGGATAAAATTTCAACATTCAAAACATTAATTTAAAACACGGCTCAATACAAAAGTACAGCAATAAATTTATTTATTATGCATTGTTACATTAGAACATGTAAACATCCATTACAAAATTGTACATTTTGTTTCAATGTTAAATTAACGTTTCTTCATGTGGCAAACATTGATAGTACTAAACGATTTTATTCAGAATTACGATTGATAAAACACTGCTTCACTCTCTGTCCTTGGAAAATTTTCCATTAAAGGTAAAAAGGATTTATCTAAAGAGAAAGGAAAGAAGATAAGAAATTAATAAAAAAGAAAGAGAAAGGAAGAGAGAAAAAAAAGAAAGTCAGGAGAAAAGATTCAACCAATGAAAATCCATTAAATCAGAGAATTCAAATTTAAATGGTGACATGGCATAGAATGGTTAGAATGTAACAAGTTAGATTTACAATTCTATGGCATTTGTATATGAAGTCATATATTCAACCAGAATTATTCACAAAATGTAAAAGAGGTCACTTTAAGAAGTAATATATTTAACAAAACCAACTTTACAATATAAATTAGAATACCAAATAAATTTTAAACTTTTATATTATTATAAAGCGTTATTAAAGAGGTTAGAGGTAAATAATCAGAATTAAAATAACGAATAAATAATAATTAAATTAAAAATAGATATAAAATTAAATTAATATTAATACTAAAATTAAAGTAAAATAAAATGAAATGTATAATTCGAAGCTAATCTTACTACTAGTGAGTTATAAATACTAAAACTAGGATAAATTAATGATAACAATGCAATGTTTATATAGATAATAAACACAAGAAAATTGATTTTACCAGATAAGAAAGTCACAAGAAAATGTCCATAAATTAACAATATTACCTATAGGAAAGACAAGCAATGTAACAGTGCATAATAAACAAATAAATATGCAATTTTTTCCCTGTGTGTGTGCGCGCATATATATATATATATATATATATATATATATTTTCCCTATATGTGTGTGTGTATGTGCATGCAGGCCCTCATATTTGCATTTGTGTACATGTTTCTGAATAGGCATTCAGACTTATATTTGCAGACTATACTGAGAATATTGTTTATTAACTTTTTATTAGGCAGATGAAGAAAAAGCTTGTTTAATCTGCCCAACACGAATCAATACTCGTCGGACAACAGAAAACATCCAAAGTGAAATCACAGAAATTAACAAACGTGTTGAAGCCACAGAAAAAAGGTTTGTGATTCTTTTTATTCAAAGTTTTAAAAAAAAGAGAAATTTTTGAGGTGCATTGCTACAAACTCTCTTCAAACAGGGAAAACATCTGTCCTCGTAAAATTCTTTTTTAATTTAGAGTATGATTATTTTTTTAGTCTTTTGTTAGTTTCATTATCTGCAATTAGTTTTGGTTATTAATCAAAATGTGTCTTGATGCAGACGAGTTGAAGATTTCTACTAGTTTCCTCTTTATAACAATGATCCTCTTGATTTAAGGTTAAACCTTGTGAATTTCATATGATTAAATTATAACCTGTTTTGATTCATCGTTTGTGTCTAAAAATAAGACAGTACTATAACTGGGGAGAATATATTAATTTATAATGAATGCTTTCTTTTTTTTGCCATCTAAATTACACAAAACTGAAAATAACTTTTTAACAGATATATTTACCAAAATTACCCCAAAATATCTTAAAATAAAGAGTAAATTTATTCAATAAAATCGCTATCTGTCTATATTTCTGAGATAAGGTATTATGTACATTATTCGGACTATTGTCCTCATCTTTGTCGCCATAATTATCACAATGTTTCGGCCTTCTTCAGAACTTTATTTCGCTCACTGTTCTACTCCATGGGCTATGTTTAATGGATGTCAGTTATCTGTTATTTCCCTCTGAAAGTTCTCCACTGCCTTAACCGGGTATTGAACTCACACTCTTTGGGTCCTGTTACTGGATCTAACCAACGCCTTTATCCACTGTGCCATGTGTCCTTGAGGACATCTGGGTATGAATTTTCTGGGTATTATAAACCTAATGTCTTCAGCAACCATTTATACCAGTGCTCATATTGCAATTTTTGCTGTTATCATTATATGTTTTTACCAGAGCTCATATTGCAACTTTGTTGTTATTATCGCTTTTCTCTGGCACTCCTTATTACTGGTTCCCATATTGTATTTATTTCTATGCTTGGTCGGCTCAGGAGATTTTTGTGGCCTAGCATATGTGCTGATTCCTTAAGTTTACAAATTTTCCAATGGTGTTCCTTGTCTATGATCTCAACTTGATCCCACAGAGGGCGTTTATCTCCCTTCTCTCTCCATACGTGGTCAGCCACGCCTGATTTTCCCACTTCCCCTTCAAGCTTTTGAAGGTTGTTCTGATGTTATATGGACCGCAGATCCTTTGTATTTTCTCTGATAACCCCTTCACACAAGGTAGGCAGACTGTTTTCTGAGTGTTGTTGTCCTCTTCCTCTTGTACCCGCCTATCCCAGTTTTTGGGGGCTGCTGCCATGTACCCAGTGTAGTTGTTACGTTATAGGATACTACTTATACTGACCAATTCTTTATCCAATGTCTCTGGGTCGCCACATGACTTTTACTCTGTGTTGTAAGCAGCGGACGATCCCTTTCTTTACGCTGTATAGATGGTGGGAGTTGAAATTGAGGTACTGTCTGGTTAATGTCGGTTTGATATACGGATGTCTTCAATCCATGCTCTGTTCGAGATATTAGAACATCCAGGAATGGGAGTGTGTTGTTACTCTCTTTCTCCATTGTGAACTGTATTGAAGGTCTTATTGAGTTCACATGGTCCAGTAGAACCTGAACATCTTCCTGGTGTGGCCAGAGTATGAAGGTGTCATCTACGTACCATATAGTTGGCTTTAGAGATATAGATTCTAATGCCATTTCCTCAAAGTATTCCATGTATATATTTGCCATTGCTGGTGATAATGGCGAGCCCATTGCTAAGCTCTCATCCTGTCGATATATGTGAGCCATTCCAAAGTGTGTTGTTTGTGTACAGAAAGTCAACATCTCCATCAGATTATCTATTGGAATACTGGTCGTTCTTCTAGGTACGAATCAAAGGCCAACCTGTCTCTGACTACTGAGAGTGCCTCCTCCGTGAGTACCTTGGTGAACAAACTCACCACGTCTAAGCTCACCATCAAGTTGGATAGGATGGGAGCATCTTTGATTATTTCCACAAATAAAAATCAAAAGGAAAACACATTTAGGGACTTTATCTGGATTGGTTTGTTTTATTGCATATCAACCTCAATGGGTTATTTAATGCTGACAAGATTTTTATCGCTGGTATTTTTTTTTTTTTCCAAGAAGTATTTCTGGTAATATTTTTTCCAAAAATGTATTGCTGGTAATAATTTTTTCTTAACTTTATTGCTGGTAATAATTTTTTACAAAAAAATCTATTGCTGATATTAAAACCTATTTTTACACTTTCATAGGGTTTTGACACCAATTTGGGGGTTTGCCCAACTGGTGCTAACACCTCAGGTCAGAGTGGACTTGGGAACACCAGCAATTAAGAGGTGGTTCAACACTCTTCAAAAACTGATCAGAGGCCTTGTTGTTGTATGTAGTTTATCATCATACCCATGACGGGATTTTATCAAGACAAATGCAAAGATTTTATTTTGTAATAAGTATTTATATACAAGAACAAAAATGTTATTGGTTTTTCAAAATATTCTCATAAATATTCAGTACATCAGCTGAAAAGTCTAAGCAATGTATGGAGGATGGCAAATAATACAATTGAATGGCTAATAAACAAAAGTGAGTAAGGGATGTTCTTGAAATTTGTTTGTTTTTTTGTTTTTGTTGCAAATTAGTATTCAAATTATTTTAGTTTGGGATTAATTTATGTGTTATATATTTTAAATAACATGAGGTTATGCATTTAACAGTTTTCTTTGAATTTTTTAACATTTTTATAGTCATGTATGTTGGTTTGGGAAAGAAGTAATTCTTTTGGGAATGGAGATATTTTAAAAGTCTGGGATGCAGAGTTATATTTTGATAAGGTTCAATAGACAGAAACTTCTTGAGAATGACATTAAGTATGTTATTTTATCTTTTAATAAGTGGGATTCTTCAGATCAAAGTTGTGGTTGAATTTATTTCTATGTATAACTAATTAATTTGATAAATCCTTGTGTATAAGATCCCTTTTGTGTTCATTGATATCTGTTTTTTATTTATTTTTATTTTTATTTTTTTTAAATTTCTGCAAGTTTCTCTACTATATTGTAATATTGTTACAAAATAAAATAGGCCTTGTATTTGCCTTAATAAAGTCTCTTAAAGGACGAAACACATTGACTAAGATAAGCTTTCCATTAGTCTTTATTTATATATATATATATATATATATATATATATACACACACACACACACACACACAAACACAATGTATCAAAAAATCTTACAAACTTTGGGGGCAGGTTCCTCACACCAAAGCAAGGGCAAAAGTCTACCATAAGCTTTAAACTTAATAACTCAAAAACAAAGGATTTGCATATACATGTTTATATGGACTTTTGTCCTTGATTTGGTGTGAGGACCCCCCCCCTCCTCCAAGTTTGTAAAAGTTTTGATACACTCTGTCTGTATGTGTATATATATATGGATTACGGCTACATCACACTGAACAACAAGTTGCTATGCAATCACCTGGTCAGTACCTAGCTTGTATGTAAAGGTGGTGTGATGACTTGTAATTGTTAATCAGAGATCTGAGTTCCAATTCCCATTGGGTTTGTTATATTCACTTATGCACAAATACCTTTGGGAAAGGTATGAATCCACCTCTTCTCCCCTTAATAACCTGCAAAGAGTTGATAAGCCGCAGTAAACAAAACATTATAATGTATTCCTTCCAAATGTGTTACATGATTTTATTTGCGTGTTGGTGTTGTTAAATAATTGGAGAAAAAAAAGAAGAGTTGACTAAGTTAGTTAGATATTAAATCTAACTAGTAAGAGAAAGAGACTAAAAAATGGTATGAACTTGAAAATTATCAATCTAAAAGTTTTAAGAATTTCATAAAAGGAGAGATGAAGAAAGTTCATTATTTCAGTTTTCAGAATAGAAAATTTGTTTCTAAAGGGAAATCTTAAATTTTATTGTAGATTATTTTTCTCCTTCAATTCAGGAAACTAGAAAATTTTTGCAGACATTTTAACAGATTAAGACAGACAACATATTGAAAAAAAACTGAGCACTTAATTCTGATTATTTTGATGATGTCTGCTTTTATTTTTTTTGATCAGGCAAGGTGATCGAGACCTTACAACACGCAGGTTCCATGAAACTAAAGAAGCTTTATGGAAAATCAAAAAAGAAGTTGGATCATTGAAAAAATTTTTAAATGTAAGGAATTTTTTTTATCATATCTATAACTTAAATTTAAAATAAAAAAAATTGTTATCGGTTTCAACATAAATGTTGAATGACAAATTTTAAAACATATCTCTGTTCAAATGCAACTTTATCAGTCAAAGTAAGCACTATAAATATAGACACAATCTCCCTAACAATCTTATTTTTATTATTTCATCACAATAAAACTTGTGATCAACATGTGTCAATAAACTACTGGAAATTCAATTCCAACTCTGTATTGGTATTCACCTGCATGTATCTAATATATGTATCTAAAACCCAGAAAAAATGGTAATAAGTTAAGGGGATATATCTGTTGAATAAGAAAGCTGGGGCAGGACCTTATATCCTAATTACATCAGTTTTTACCAGGGCTCTTGTGAAATATGAGGTCATGTGTTATACTGCAAAAGGAAAGGATCATTTCTCTTGACTAATGTTAGTCAAAATGGTTATAACTTTTGATGCATCAATTCCAAATGACAGTAGAATTCTGCTATGATGGTTTTACCTGGTTGCAAATGGACAGAAAGATTTTCATTTTTACTGGGTGAAGATTTCTTTTTGGAAGGTTGTTGGCCAAACATCTATGATCCTGATTATCATACAGAAACCATTTTTCATCAATAAATTCAAGAAAAGAGTTTGTTTTTTTTTTTAAATGAACAAACTGTTAATCATAAATCATTGGATAGCCACTCGGCCATTTTTGTCTCTATGCCAGATAATTTTTGCTTCTGATACTGAAATATTTCTTTCTGGCTGAGACTCTATAGTTGCTGCTTCATTATTGACTGATAAATTGCAACGAGACTCAGATCAGCAGAACTGGAGTTTTGCAACTAATAATGCATTCTCTGTCTTGATGCTGGCTTCAGACCCTAAACACTTGATGTTACAAGTGAATTTCACATGATGATGTCCAAGTAAACTAACAGAACACAAAAATCATGTTTAATCTTCTTTGCTTTGATAATTTCTAAAATAAAATAATCAAAAATTTCAAATAATACTGAAAAAAAATGTGTAGATAAACAGAAAAAATGATGTGGAAAAACTTACACTAATTCCACACAAAGACACCTATTTATTTTGTTCCTACCTAATGTATAAAATTTGTAATATTTTTCCAAATATCGTTATCATTACATTTTTAACAATTATTAATCTATCTTACTTGAAGGAAAATTACTATTAGATTTCCCTATTTTATGATGACAAAGTAAAAAGATAAAAGCAATCCAAATAGATGTTTGTCATGTCATCATAATGATCCTTTTCAAGAATCATTGTCAGTTTAGATACTTTTAGATACAGAATTTTTTTACAAAATATCATTACACATTTTCTTTTTAAATTAACCTGTTGAATGTTTTCATTTTGTCAAATTGTTCTTCATCTGATTACAGTACACAATAAACAAATTTAAAAATTATTTCACAAAAACAATTTGCATGTAGAAAGAGCAACTTTTCTTCTTCTTTTTTTTTTTTCAGTAAAGCATTGACTCCAAACCACTTAACTCAATGCATCTTATATATAAAATACAGTGTATGTATGTATGCATGTGTGTGCCCGAGCAACTCCTCCCACTGGTCAGATTTCAATGATTCATAGCTCATTCAAAAGCCCTAGAAAAGTTAGACACAAGGAAGAATTTTCGTTAAGCTAAGATTCAGGGTTGCCAGATTATGCTAGTGAAAAATATATATTGATATATTATACTAGCCATTATCGTTGCTTTCATGGTTCAAGGGGAGTAACTCTTATTTTTATTTTGTATCTAAAATTGCAGCTAGCTTAAAATTTTAAGCTAGCTAAAAAACCATCCTGTCGAGCAGCATTTAAGCTAGCTCCTGTGGAGGACTCTTGGTTTGGCCATGATCTCAATAGCTACAGAGGAGAAGATGCAATAGGCATCAATAAACTACAGAAGAAATCAAAATCGATCGCTGCATTTAAGTATTGAATTAATGTTTAAGCTTACCTTTTAAAAGTTCAACGATAATTCGTCTGCTGCCACTTAATTTAAAGGCCATTTGATGTACGTAGATACTTATTTTCCATACAAACAATTATTTTTATTTCATGGGTGACAACAGAGGATAATTTATAAAATTAATATAGTGTAATGATGGGAAAATAGAATTAGTTATACATTCAACATTTGAAGAGTTAAAGAAACATATGGAATCTATATGAATAAGTGCAAAATTGGAGCTCAATTCTCTCACAAATTCTGAGATTTAAAAACCCTAGCTCAGGAGTTTTCAAACTTTTTGACTTGCAGACCCCTTTATATTTCAGTCTTTACCTTAGGGACCCCCTTATAAATGCTTATGAAATTTATACATAAATATTTGCTGAGTATAACATATAATTTTGCATTAATGCAATAAAAGCTGATTTAAAGCTTACTTTAGACATAAGCGTTCAAATAAATTAATGCTGCATGTTGCTGCAAAATGTAACAAAATTAAATTTTGTTATATTAAAATATTAATTTTACATGTAAATGAAAACAGTAATAGTATTTAACAAATAGTTTTATTGTCAATTACACACACAGGATTTTTTAATACACACTTAGTGAGAAGGATTTGCTTGCTTGGCTTTGCAAAAACTGTCAATTCTTGGCGATATTACTGATAAACATACATGTAAGTCACTTTCTGGAGCAAGTCTGGATCTGTATTTGTTTTTCAGATTGGTTAGTGCCAAAAATCCTGCTTCGCATAAATATCTTGTCGCAAACGGTAACAAAATCTTAACTGCCTTTCGAGATAACAATGGATACTCGGAGACTACAGTGAGCCAAAATTTCAAAAGTTGAAGTTCTGTCGTATGAAATTTCTGCCAGTTCTTCCACTTCATTTCTTGTGAGCATGCTATTAGCTATTTCAACATATAACAGTCAAAGTTTTCAATATTATCAGGAACATCTTTCGAGAAATATTTGTCAAAATGTTCAGCAAGTGATATTAAATGTCGTTTAACATCTACAATTATCAAATCAACATTAACTGAACCATTGTTGCTGAGATATTCGTCCAGTGTAGGGAACATATCTAGAGTTTTCTTACTAACTTTTGCAGTCCATATATTCAGTTTTTTCTTCAAGGCTTCAATTTTGTCATGACTAAATAAGATATTTGAATTTCTTCCTTGTAGAAATAAATTCAGTTCATTAAGTTTGTTGAATATATCTGCCAGATAAGCAACTTTGCAAAGCCAAATTTTATCGGCCATTATCGAAGCCAGTTCAGCATTTTAATCACACGGAAACATTGACAGATCTTCTCTAAGTTCAAATAAACGCTGAATTATTTTGCCTCATGATAGCCATCTTACCTCTGTATGAAACAACAGACTTGAATGTTCAGCCCCCATCTCACCACAGAATATTGCAAAGAAACGACTATACAGTTGTCTGGTTTTAATGAAATTCACCATTTTAATACAAGATGACAAGACTTTGGACAAAGAAGCATCCATTTTCTTAGCAACCAGGGCTTCTCGATGAATCATGCAATATGTTGCAGTGATATTAGGTGCTGCTTTCTTAACATGCCCCACAACACCTGAGTGAATACCAGTCATTGATGCCGCCCCATCTGTACATATGCCAATACACTGGCTCCATAACAAGCCTGATTGAAGAAGAAAATAGTCCAATACTTTAAAATCTTCCTCCCCAGTTGTTCTAGTGGGCATAGGATGGCAAAATAGAAAATCTTCAAGCATTTCACTTTCCCAGCAATATCGTACATACACCATAAGTTGAGATCCATTGGTAATATCTGTGCTTTCATCAAGTTGTAATGCAAAAAAGCCTGTTTTCACTCTGTCAATTAACTGAGATTTTATATCTTCTGACATATCTTCTATTCTTCGCGCAATTGTGTTATCTGACAGTGACACGGCTTTCAATTTCGCAGCACATTTTTCATCCAAAACTGCCTCACACATGTCTATTGCACAAGGCAAAACAAGTTTTTCAGCAATATTATGGGCGTTCTTAGCACAAGCCACTCTCAGTGCCACTAAATAAGATGCCCGTAATGGTTTATGATTTGATGTTATTGACATTGTAAAAGTTGCTTTCTGCTTTAAATATGCATCCCTTTTTCTTTCAAAGAAATCTTTTGGTTTTGTGGCAAATCGTTTTGTTTTGTAGTGTTGTTAAATGTCGCTGCAATTTAGCTGGTTTCAGGGCTTCATTCGACAACAGCTTATGACAAAGTAAACACTGTGGTCTGTTAAGACACACTTTCAATGAATCCAAATGGAATATATTCCACATCATATTTTCTTAATTTGTTTTTCTGAACAATCTCTTCTGTCTCTGTAACGGATTCTGAGTTGATTTCATCATGAGGTTTCCGTTTCAAAAATTTATCCATGGGTAAAATGGCAACTATTTTGTATGACTTTTATGCTTTTATTTTGTGAATTTGTTTAATAAATACAGGTTGAATAAGCAATATCGCTATGTTTGGAAAAAATTATCTGACAACCCTATCTTTACAAATTATTTTAAAGCTGATTTTAATTATACTTATAGACCATGCCTAGAATAGTGGTATCATACACGTCATTCACATATCCTCCTTAATTAAATTGATTCTAAAATGCCTGAAGTTTACAACAAACTCAAAATGTAACAATACTAAAAAAGCCTATCTGGTTTTGACTGTGCACATATTGCTAAAAAGAACTTGAAATACTGTATTGACTCTTTCAGTGGCTGTAGACAACATGGAACGCTTACTGTTAATTACTATGAAAACAATATACTAATAAAAAATTCAGAGCTTACTTGCTTACTCGTCCAACAGCCTTGTACTTCTACTCGCAAAATGTCTCCCATTTGAAGATTTGCACACGTGACGCTTAACAGCCAATGAGAAAGCCGGAAATCGCAAAATAGATCCAAAATTCAAATCCTTTGGTACCTTCTCTGCATGAATAGAATCCATTATCTTTATCAATTTAAGATACAAATTATATTAGTATATCAAAACTATGAAATAGTTTATTGAATCAATTTATTTCATGATCGGCCTATAAGTTACTTATAAGCACTTATAAGTTGCACGTCACCCATAAAAAAGTCTTTGCTGTCCACGGACCCCTGTGGTCCGCAGACCACAGTTTGAAAACCCCTACCCTAGCTCTACTTTATAGTAATTTGTATTTACTCAACCCCCTCGGTGGCAGCACTGATTCCTCTCTCTCTTTCTGAACCCAGAGAGAGAGATTTGCACAATATATTATCTACATCTTGCATATTGATTTTTAAAAAAGTTTATTTCATATTTAACTGTCCTTCATTACTGTTCTTTTATTCAAGGATTGTAGCCAATTTACGAATGAAATGTTCATTTAAAATTTTTGTTTCAAAGATTTCAAGTAGTGAGAATATCTTACTTTGTGAAGTGATAGTGAGTGGGTGAAGCCTGCTAGTATATATATATATATATATATATATATATATATATATATATATATATATATTTTCCTTTTTGTTCAATTCAGTGAAATACCAAAAACAACTTTTAAACTTAGTTTTAAATTTTCACCATCCAAAACAGCATAAGGAAACAAAAAAATGTTGGCAATGTTTAACTTTTGTGCCTGCAAAAAAAAATGCTGTGTCAAAAGGACAGTTTTTTCCTTGACTTTGCTATTATTTTATCTACCTTCACTTAGCAATGTTTATTGTTTTAAAAAGTGAGGATTAGAATTGTAATAAAACCTAAACATATGATGAAAGAGAATTTATACATTTTTTGTTCTTGAGAATTGACAACAAAAATAATAAACAAATTTGTTTATTTACAAGAATAATTTTATATTTACAACATTCTAAAAACTAATACAATGCAATATTTATCATTTACCAATTTATAAAGAAATAAATATGAAAATTATAGTTTATTCATAAATTTATAAACATTTACTAAATTATGAAACTATATGAACCTACTATAATCTTGTTAAGATCTGCTCACATCCATTTATCAAGATCATCAACCTCTCTCCCCATTCCTTTTTTCTCCCCTGGTGGCAGTGATGGAGATGACTGTGAATCAAAGATAGTTTGATGAAGCCATTTGCATGAAATTGATTTTGGTGGACAACTCTGCATGACAGAGAAGCCAACTCTCATGGCCAGAAGTATCTCCCTTACTGCTCAAAGAGGACTGAATCAGGCAAGACCTGGAAAACCTTATTTTTTTTATCATTTTATAAAGTTTGAATTGATTGGCAATTAGCCACTGTTTTGCCAACTATTCCAATAAGCAATATTATAAATAAATATTATGAATAAATGATCTAATAAATAAATAAATAATGTTTATTATTTATGTTGTGAATTCTCAAGAACAAAGAAAATGTATGAATTCATTTTCATATATTTAGGTTTTATTGCAGTTTTAATCATCAATTTTTGAAACAATAAACATTGTTGTATTGTGAAGGTAGTTAAAATAATAGCAGTGTCAAGGAAAAAAAACATCCTTTTGATACACTGTTTTTTTACAGGCACAAAAGTTAAACATTGCCATTTCTGTTTGACTTTAGCTTGGAATCAGAAAGAATTGTTTAATTAAATAACAATAGTAGTCATTAAAATGCAAAAAACAAAATGATCATCATTGTCCACTTCATTTATTTTTTCAACAAAAATAATAAAAAGAATAAAATTTCAAGTTGTGTTGGCCATATTAAAATTTGCTTGTTTCTCTTTTGTTGAGAGCAACAAAATGTCAGTATTAATTCAAATCAAATGATGTTATTATACTGGTAAAAACTCATTTCCTGTTCTGATTGTTTTTTTGTTTTTTTTCTCTCTCTCTCCAGCATCTCGATGACGTGATGGAAATTCGAGACAAGGCCTACAAGTCATGTCGACTGGTCATTGCACTTAGGATGAAACAAGTTTTCGTTGTGTTCTTACATAGTCGTCAATATGTTGGCCAGTTGAGTTTTGACCACGAAAATGGAACACTGGACATCTCGGTATGATTTTCATTTGGTTTCTTCTTCTTTCTTGTTCTTTCATAATGGGCAAAATAATTTATTCTTGTATTTAGTGGCCTGGGTATGATGATAAACTGCATCCAGCAACAAGGCCTCTGATTGGGAGATTTTGAGGAGTTTGGAACCACTTCTTAATTTCAGTTGTTCCCAGATCCACCCTGGCCTGGGGTGGTAGCACTTGTTAGGGTCCTAGCTGGTTTCTGAATACTAAGAAAGTACAGAGAAAGGTTTTTATAATAAAAATACCAGCAATACAAATTGCAATATATAAAATGCATATTCACAAAAATCAATTCCCAATAACTACAAATTCCCCGCAATGGGCCGACCCGTTTGCTGTGGGTGTTGACCTGTGATGTCTGGGGACAGAGTCCTGGTGATTGAGTGACTCCTGATCTGCTATAAAATGACCAGGAGTGTCCACAACACGTCACTTCAGTCCCTACCTGGGATAGACAGGCAGATGGAATAGCCCAATCCATCCCAATTGGCTAGCCACATAGTGGCAAGGGCTAGTTGGGATGATAGATAATGGTTCCAACATGGCTGCGAATCCTTACACCATGCTATACTTGGGTAGATATGGTAGGGGAATGCGGGTCCTTGTATCCACTTTCATCACAACTATACCATCTGCGTAGCCCTGGCGAATCAGGGCGAATGGGATTAGTCCCCCCTGATAGAAGAAGGAATTCCGAGGTGGGTGGGGAATACAGATGGTGAATACAAAAATCAAAATTATATGACTATCTCTTATAAATGAACCAAGAGACAAATGAAACTTCTGAAACAGAAAGTGAAAACGAAATATAAAAAAAAAACAATTTCCAACTTTCATAGCTATAAAATCACTAGATGGCAAAATAGCAATAGTGTCTCCTTTTGTGTTGCAAAAGGCTTATAATGGCCATGATTGAAACAAAATCGGTAAAAAATAAAGAAAAATAATACACTTTTAATTCAAGTAAAAACCAAAAAAGATGCAGAAAAATTACTAAAAATCAAGCAAATAGACAACAATAAAGTAAAGGGTTTACTTACCCCCAAAGGTTTACCACTAATTTCTTAATTCATCTACAGGTGTAATAAAATGCCCAGAACTGTCTTTGTATGAGAGCATCAGTCTGTTGAAGATGTGGGGAACTTGAGTCAGATCATGAAGAGTCAACCTGTGAAAGGCCTCTTTATGTCCAAACTGTAAAAAAAAAAAAAACACTCAGCAGACTCTAAAGAGTGTAACATCTGGGAAAAGGAAATAATAAGAATAAAATACATGTAAAACATCTTCTTTCAAGAAGCCAGAAAACATGTCAAATCATATTCAATTTCAACATCATATACAAATATCACTAAAATATCAAATCAACAAAATGACATCCAAGAGATCAATGCAATAAGAAGCCAAGATCTTACAAATCTAATGAATGAATTAAAAAGTCTAATAGAACTACTAAAATATAGTATCTCATACATAAATCAAACTCTTGTAGACAAAACAAATCATATCCCGTCAATCTCAAACAAAAAAGAATCTATATGTACAAAACCATTAACTCCAAAAATCACAATCCAAAGTACAAAAATCCTTTAAGAAATATAACCCTTTAAACATTCACAAGAGAATCAAAAGGTGCAGAAAAAGATAACACAACCAACATTGAAGAGCCAAGAGAAATGGACATAGATGAACAAAACTCTATCCCATCTCAAACAAGTGAATGGTCATCATCCAAAGAAAGATTGTCAAAAAAACCTAATAGAAAATCTAAGGAAACCAGATCAAACAAACAATCAGAAACAAAAGACATTCAAAGAACAAAACATGACAAGAAACAAAACACTAATAGACTGGAGAGCATAGAAATTATTACTAGCAATACATTTAAAAAAAAAAAAAAAATCTCGAGCAATATATATTTGGAAAAAAATAGTACTAGTTGTAATTTTTAAAAAAAATATTACCTGCAATAGATTTTTGAAGGAAAAAATATTACCAGCAATAAAACTTTTGTCAGCATTAAATATCACATTGAGGTTGATATGCCATAAAATCTAATCTAATCTAATCAAACCAAATAAAAATCTTGTATTTAGATTGCTTTTGGTCTTTTGTTGATTAAAATATTTTTTTCTTACTCTCTTAATGTCTTTTATTCCTTCTCATCTTGTCGTCTCTTTTGATAACTAATATTGATTATCACCTTGTTTAGCACAAATCTAAAAGTGTTGGACCCCAGGAGGATCCAAATTTATTAGGTGTAAATAATGTATGATGTTAACTTGCTAACAACTGCTCTGTGGTAAGTCATCCAATTTATTAAGCTTAATTTGACAGGAGGCCATAAGTATAGCGGTCATGTAAGAATCAAATTCACTACAGTCTGAGACTAACTTGCTAAATGTTTCTTCATAAAAAAGCACTTCTTATATTTTGTTATTAAATAAATTAAAGTGTCAGAAACTTGAAAAGTGGATGTTCCTGATAAAATATTTACTACTTCATTAATTCACTTAAAATTTTTCCCAGGTAAATAACAATTTTATTTAATATAAAATAAAATGTGGAAGAAATTGTGTTTTGGTTGAGAAAGAAGTCCTGCTTCCTTGCAACTTCATTTAAAGTATGGAAATGCCAATGGTATCTTAAAACTTACATGCTATATACTGCTTGAATGAAATCTTTGAAAGAAAAAATGCATCTATGGTTCCCTTTCATATAAAATTGATGTTTTTAAAACCAGCAGTAGTTATCAGAATGGGTAATGGTTTTTGCGAAGGCAAATCAACAAGCCAAGTTCAAATTTCTGCCTAGTCAATCACATTCACTTTCACACAAATGACATTGGAAAAGATATTAATGTATCATTTCTCTCTCCAGCTACAGGTTAAATAGAAGGATAGAGTGGACTGTCTAGCCATGAGTGCAACCAGTCTGTTTTAATGTTGTCTTTGTTCAGAATAGCTGAGAATTAGGAAGGCCATAGTTAGAGAGAGTATCGAAGGAACGGAAGACTAGGTAGGGAAAACAAAGATGAGCTTTATTAAATACTCATACATAAAATGGAATGACTTGAATAAATGAACTACTACTCAAATCCTCTTCTAATGTGGCTACTTGCCATGTTTATAAGTAACAGCAGTCCATTTGTCACAGTAGTAGGGAAAAGAGGGGAAGTACACTGAGGCCTACTCTACAACACAGTTTGAGGAGAAAACTCTTACTTCCAAACTGTGGAAAAGGCAATGGGAATCCACTCTTTCTTTTCTTAGAAGGCATCACAATTCACAGATTATAAAGCAATAGAAATCTTTGGGGAGTTATGTTCGCCTACATAAAAACACGTGACATTAAAAAAAAAAAACAAAAAAAAATAAAAACAGTTATCATTTTTCCATTACCCTATCCAAAAGTAGTAAGGTAGGCTAATGGAAATGTAACCTTTACAGGGTAATTGAACCTGATTTTAAATTTGCATAAGTGAATCCAGCCAAATCAAAGAAAGTTTTCTATCATGCCAGAGGCAACTTATTAGACGATAAACCAATAGCAACTTAACTTTCTAAGCATGTAAATAAAAATTGAGTTTTTGCCCAGAAAGAATATACTGATGAAAATAAGAGTTCAAATCCAGTTCTGAAAGCTCTTTCAAAAAAGAAAAAGAAAATAAATAAATTGGTCATTTGGTCAGATTTTAAGAAATGGATCATATATCTGATAAATTAACACAACAGCTGTTTGCTGTAAAAGTTTTAGTTTAATTATGACATCAGCCAAACTGAATCATCAGATGAATAATATTTAGATGATTTTGTCCCAGGATTTAGGACATTGTTATGATACTAGGCCAGGTCCTTTATGCCATCTCTATAGAATTTGTCTTTTTAAAAGCCTAATACTTGTTTGCAAAGAAACTGTACAATTCAATGTAGTCAGAATTACGTGAATACATGTATGTACATATATATATCTCTCTCACTCGTGTAACATTTGCTCTGATTAGCAAAATATAATTAATGATAATTACAGTTATAATAGAAGTTGATTTGATTTCATTTTCATTTGTTTATTAATTACTTGAAAACATTTTATGTGTTACACAATATCTCTGCCTGCAAACTGTTGGTGGGGGGAAAATGATTTCTTGGCATAACCTTTTATTCACAACTAATTTTCATAAATACATTAAATAAAATAAAAAAAAATTAGATTATAGTATCTTTTCTACTTTGTTTTCTCTTTTAAAATGGTTTATATTCTAGGCTGTCCCCTGTCAAGCCACACTGACCCATTTTCCTATCCTTGATGGTCAAATCTAGGTGATGAAATTTTAGTTTAAATAGATAATTCAAATGTATAAGTACATTACACCATGACCTATTAACCTTTTATATGCAGGGTCTTTTGATACTGGCATAAGAAAATAACAGCAGTGGTTACATCTCCTCTATCTAAAGACAAATATTAAAGAAAAATTAAAGTATATGATGCTCAAATCAAATATGGTCCATTTTCATGTTATTTAAAGGTTGTTCTCAGATAAACTGTACCAACATTAATAACTTTGTTTTTGTTGATATTTAATAAATCAAACTTTATTTAGAAGAAGGCCACAAATGTGAGGTGCTCATTGAAGATGAAATTCTCACTGGTCCAATGGTCTGTGATGTGAACTTGCTAACAATTACTCAATGATGAGATATGTATGAGTCTGTTTTGTAGTCATGTTTACTAAATTTTTTTCAAGGGATTTAATTTATGAAAATAGAATATGTAACACTTCAGTTGTTTTGATACATATACAGTTGACTCATAACTCTTTATATGTGTGACTCTCAGCCATTTCATCTCATATTGACTTCTTGTGATTAAATAAATTCAATAAATTCTTCTTAATGAGTTTACATATTTTTAACTCTTTTGTCGGGAAAGGAGTTACCAAAATTAAACATGTGAATATTGTACACTGTACTAAAATAATTAAATAATTTTAATGAAACACAACCCCCATATTTTTAATTGGTTGTATTCTCTTGTCCGTTATGCCTGCCCTGTGTTATGGAAATGAATCGTGCAACTTGTGTACTTGAGACCCACTCTGTAAACAAATATGTTCATGCTTGGGATAATGGGACCACCAAGTGAGATATGTGATCCATGGCTGGTGGGTGGACTCAGTCTGGTTACTGAAATTTCAGTAAGTACCCAGGTACTGAAATTGCATTACCAAATTGTGTTTCACTTATTTTGACTAAGTATACCAACAGAAAAAAAAATACAAATAACAAGCTTGTTGGTTTTGTGCCTCACATTGTTTCACAACTTACAGGGGATAAAATGTATGTATATGGTTGTGGTCATTTCTTGAAACTGGTTAAAGTATATGATTGTGCCTCCCACAGGTATGGTGCTTGTTAGGGTGTCACTTTTCCTTTCACGCAGTTTCACCTCTTCCCTTCGACAAGGAAAAACCTTCCTTTTTTATTTGGTTATTTACATTGCATTTATTTTGTCTTGACAAATAACAAAAACTAAAACCCTACAGAATTTTGATATTTAAGTACAGACATACCAAAATATTTTCAAAATTTTAGTAGCCATCACCATGAAACTAAACGTCTTGGATTCTGTTACCCGCCACCCCTCTGCCCTGTTATGTATAAAATACTAAATTGAGAAATTTCCTTTATAATCATTTAATAATAATGAATTAAATATTGAGTTTTTATTTTATCTTTGTCTGGCTAACATATAAATTTGTCTTTCAAGAACAGGTTTTCATTGGTTTATGTTTTCTTTGTTATCTTTATCTGCTTGCTGCTGTTATTTATGATAAAGAGATATCAGACAACAGAGAAATAGATTTACTTCAAAGTCATTCTAGGTTCTATATTTGTTGAGTGAACAACATGCTTCCAACTCACATTTCAGAAGACATATCACACTAATTTTTTAAACTATACTGACCTCATTAAAACAGATAAAGGAAGCCATTTTAAAAATACAATATAAAGATTCTTTATATTTTAGAAAAATAAAATATTTTATAACTTTTTTTTTTAATCATTTCACCCCAAACAAGGCAACAAAGCCACAAACACACAGGTTTCTGTGTGTGAAAGAAAACTAGAAAAACATTAAGGAGTGAGAACAGGAATTAAGAAAACAGTAGATAATGATTGGCATTGCATTTAAATTGTGAAGATCAAAGTTGGCTAGAAAGCAAGAAGTCAGAGGAGATTTCCACAAATTGAAGTGCGGGAGAAGAAACTATAAATAAGAATTTAGAATTAGCCATCTCAACTGTAAAATGATAAAATCTTAACATCAATCTAGTACTGCATTTAAATTCATTGAGTCTAAGTACTGTAGAGAATTCATCAGAACAATTACCATGAAAGTATTTGTAGAAAAAGCATAGTGAAGCTACATTATGATGATTTGAAAGTGACTGAATAAATTGATTTTCTTGGATGGAGGGGATGTCTCCCTCAATTTTGTAACTAGTGTTTTCCTGATTTTCTTAAACACTTTCCCCTTGTTGACACATGCCCAAACAAACATGGATCAAGTTGTTTTATTATTATTTTGTTTTCAGGAAAAATGTATTTTCTGTGGGAAGTATTGCAAAGAAATGTTTACATTTTAAATGCTTACACAAACTTTGAAATAAAAGACAATCAAATGTTAATGCTGTTATGTATAGAAGAATCATTATATTTTATTTGGGGTATTTTTACAAAACAAAATCCTTTGTACATTTCTTTGAATTGTTTGTGTGTGACTCCTCTTAAAATTTAAAAAAACCATAAATTTAAGTAAAGTGGCTTTTCCCTAGATCCTAAAAATAAAAGATTATAATATAAAAATCAAGTTTTAGATAACATTACAAAATAATTGCACATATAAGATAATATGTACTCTTAAAAAAATGGAAACCCAAGTATTTTAACACAACACACAGTTTGTTTGGGTTTTTTTTTACATTTGACGGGGTTTTCTCTCATTTGTATGTCTACATCTAAAGGTCAATTGTTGGTTAGTGAAATACAGTTTATCCTCAAGTTGTTATGGCTCCATGATTGTAAAACCAAGCCAGAAAAACTAAAGTTCAATATTATGTCAATAGGAAAAGGCTAAGAAAAAAAAAAATTTCATTTAAAAACAATTCGGAATTAAAGAAGAGACATGAATTTTGTGCTATTTTCTGCTTTCAACATTTGAGTGATGTAATTGAAGTGTTTTCAAATCCTTTTGTTTCCCAAGTTTTTGCTGAATATTTTTACCATGAAAACAAATAGTTACAAATGGTATTTCTTTGTTTTAGTTATTTATAATAAAAACTATTTGGAGCATTTAAACTATAGTGCAATAGAAAAGAGAAGCCAGTCTCATTGGATGCAAAATATAATCAAAAGAACCAAACTATTTCCTATTATTATGAATTTGCAGATCGTCTATCAAATAATGTTTAGAATATAAAAAGATAAATTTTTAAAAAAAATCTAAACTGGTATCCTAGTCTCATAAGAGACTGTTACTAGTGTCATTTTTTTTTTTTTTTTTTTTAAATCACTTCACCCCAAACAAGGCAATAATGCCACTAGAATGCAAGGGGTTACTGGGAGTAAAAGAGAAAATGAAAAATTTAACAAGGAGAGGACAATAAGTGAACAGGCTTAGGGAAGACAGAAGATGACACTTGGCATTGCATTTAAATTTTTAAAGATCATAAGTGAGAAGGAAGCAAGACACTGGAAGAAATCTCCACAAGCAATATGTGTGAGAAAAGAAACTATTATTAATAGTAATAATTTAATGGAGAGAACAAAATCAAATGGTCTGAGAGTGTCAGAATATTAGTTTGTACAACCCTATTGAAAACAGCGTCAGTAAACTTAGATACAGTAGAGTCTGATGGGAAGGAGTAGCCAAGAGTTTCATTTAATGTGTAAATAAACACATGGAAACAATTTGTTTAGAAATCAAACCAAAACATTGTTCATAAGAAGTGATAAAATATATTTTAATGAGCTTTCCTACTGAGAACATAAAACCAGAGTAGAGACTTAATAACAACTTAAGTCATTAAAATTTTGTTTTCTTCTTGTTGACAAAAAGTATGTTTATTTAATCTCCTCATCCTAATATCTAAGATCTTTAGCATTTACTGCTTTTCTTGATTTTATGACTCCTACTCTCTCCCCCCTCCTCCCCCATCAACTCCAATTTTCATTCTGTTCTACTTAAAAAATGAAACTATATATTTTTTAATTTGTTCATCTAGGTGAATCCCAAAAGATCGGAAGGTGGTAAATCAGGAAAAAATGTAAAATCCTTATCTGGTGGGGAGCGCTCATTTGCCACAGTTTGTTTTATCTTGGCTCTCTGGGGAGGAACGGAATCTCCTTTTCGATGCCTTGATGAATTTGATGTATTCATGGTAAGTGCAAAAGTCATTAGCAATTCATTTTTTTAAAGCTTTTACTTTATTGATTTAAAAAAAAAAACTTCTTTCTTGCTTCTTAGCGAATCCTCTCTGGAAAATAATGAGTATTGGCAAATCATTTTGATTCAGCTTAATCTCTGACACTCATTAAAAAATATTTATGTGCTGCAAAGAAATTATTAATTCCAATGTAACCTAACTAAATCTATTTAGTTAAATATTTTTTTTTAATTATTTTATATCAAAATCCATTAAATTTTTGTTAGGAATAATTTGATACAAGAGTGGATTGTATGTTGATACAGCTGACTTGTTTCAGTGTTTCATTCTATGTTTTATATTAGCATGGATCAATAACTGTAGCCACAGATATTCATTATGAGTAAATTTTGATCTGAAATTTTCACTGTATAATGTTCAATCAAAGTGATTAATATTCACCAGTAAATTATATTGAAAAATAAATATTGTCAAAATCAGAGCTTTTTTTTTTTTTTTTTTTTCCATCATTAGGCTATGGACTTATTGATGCACTTTGTAATTTTGGAATTAATATTGAAATTTCCAACAGTTGAAAATACAAGTGACCATTGGTATTTTGTTCAAGGACAGAGACAGCCTATCATTTGAAATAACCAATTCTTGTAATGGATAACTATTTTTCTATTAAAATTGAAGAGTTGATTGTTTATTCTTCAGGACATGGTCAACCGGCGAATCTGTATGGATATGATGCTACAAGTGGCCAAAGAGCAAAGGGCCAGACAGTTTATTTTCCTCACACCACAAAATATGAGGTTTGTAGTCGTTCCGTTATCCTGCAGACCTGCATGTATACACTATGCAGTACACTCCTGCAAACATTCACATCTTCTTTTATTTGTCCACTTGCAATAAATACTGGTAGTATTGCAAGCCATTGCCAGTGAGTTTGCTCATTAAATGTCTCGTTATGGCTTTTTGTAAGACTCTGGTCTAAGCTAAGTAAATAGATACCGCATATACTCGAGAATAGGTTTCACTTTTATCTCCAAAATTTCAATAAAAATCAGGGGTGTGACATATCCACTTGACAACATAGAGAATCTGAAGTAGACTGTGGCATATCAGTAGTCCAGGCAAGTACCCTGGGCTTGAGCATAAGTGAGATCCAGGAAGAAAATTAATTTTTCCCAACATTTCAATTTTACACAATTACCTCTCTCATCAGTACCACATCACACATCAAATAAAAGCTCTCAATCTGAACTGATCATATTTAGCATTTATTATCTGATCTACAATAACAATCATTTTCAAGTGATTTTAGGACTGCAGTGATTACCAAATTTTTGTCTAAACAGAGCAGTCCTGCACTTGATAAGTAGATACCACGCAATTACAACCAATCACAATTTCACTTACATTCAGTGCAGTGTAGTCATTTATTGGTATATAAAAACTTGATTCACCTTGATTTTTACTGGTACCGTTAGTCTATAAATTTTAATAATTGCAAATCCTAATCATGAGTTAAGAGAAAGAGTTATGAAATAGGTTTTAAGTTGTAAATGGTGGATGATGCAGAAGAACATGGAAACAGATCTGCAGAAAGAAAGTTTGGCATTTCAGAAATATTATTTAACAAATATTTATGTTAAAAAAAGGGCCATGTAACACCCTGTATTATAGTGTGACCTATCTGCAAGTCAACTGCAAATACTCACTTTGTCAACCGCAAAATGAGGCTGCCTATTTACTGGTGCAACCTATTCATGAGTATATACAGTACTTTATTATAAATTTACAAGCCTGTGCCTGTCTTGATTTTTTTTTTTTTTTTTTTTGATTCAAGGCTCACTGTGGCACTCATACACTTCTGCATTGTATTTACAACTCTGAAAAATTTTGGCCCATCATGTAACTTTAGCTTAGTTCAGCACAACATGACTGAAGGCCATGAAATATAGATAAGGAAGATTATATTACACCAATATTCCCAATGCGAGGAGTCTGCCTACATTTGAAATTCTTTTTTTTTTTAACTGGATCAGTGTTCAAATCCAGCTTTTTTTAGTTTTCTTTTTTTAAGAATAACTTAGTAATTTAAATGTGGCAACTCTACTAATGGTCTTAGTGTAAAACCAATTTTGTCTCTTGCTGTATTTATGGTTAATAAGCTTAAGTAAATTACACAAAACTTAGCAATCGCAACAGCAGACCACCAAGATGGATAAATGTTTGTTTCAAATATTAATTTTAATAAACAATTTACTTAAGTTAAAATAACCACAAATACATCATTAATAAAATGAGACAAAATTGGTTTTACACTAAGATCATGAGCATTGTCACATTTCAATTACCAAGAAATGGGTTTGTTTGTTTTTTTTTTTGTATTTTTTTTTCAGTTGCCTTAAGAAAAGCAACTCAAGAAAGAAACATTCTAAATTCTTTCCCAAAGAATTTTGGCATTTTCCATTTAGAAAATAATCACAACTCTTGTTCTTGAAAAATTTGAAAGAGTTTTGAGAAATAATACATTATTAATGTGTAACCAATAGATTTTGAAATTATTGTTATCTTTAATTTCCTGAAATTTCTACTTTTATGTACTGAAGCATTATTGCAAAACTATGTAAAAGCCTTCACATGACATATGACGTGACATATGCTAATGCCTGTAGCAGTCTTGATTTCTTGTGGGTATGGGCTAAGTGAGTTCTCTGAATGCTGACATTCTCTTTAAAAGAGGAGAGAGAATGATGTGACACTGGTGCTGTGGGGTAGATAAACATTAATTCTAAGCAGAAAAAGGGTTAAGCCCTAAATAAAATATAAACTGGAAGATAGAAAGAGAGAATGGAAGACATTTTCCCTGGTAATGTGAAAGTGAAGAAAGGGCTATCTGGGTTTTCTCACCCTTACAATGCACCAAGAGTTTACTTTTTTTTATCTATCAAAAATCTGGCATGTAGGTAAAGCAAATTGGGAAATGGCTTTATCTCTTTCTTGGGAAATTATAAAAACACGTCACTGGCAAAAAGAGAAACAGATAGGGAATTATATTTTCATTAATGAAAACAAATTGAGAAAGGAAAACAATGAACCTGCTGCAAAAATTAGGATAATGAAAATCGACCCATCATAACAAGCAAGTGATCTGGTTTAGATTTTTGCTAAGACAGCGATTAGCTCAAGGATGGAAAACAGCATGTCTCTTTGTTGAGAATTTAGGTAAACAAATATATTTTTCATTGACAAAAACAAATTGGGAAATAATTTATATCTATCACTTGGTAGGTTAAAATGAGAAGGTAATCTGGTTTGTGTTTTTGCTGTGGGTCCAGGAAAGAAGTCAAAGAATTGAAATTAATGAGGAAAATAAACCACCCCCTTTATTCTATGCACTTTAAAAATTAGATTTGTCACAAAGACAGTTATGCCAGCCCTGAGAAGTGGGCAGAGTTAGAATGCAGAGGAGGAAGGGGCAGAATTTAGCTCTGTCTGTGCAGAGTAGCAGTGAAAGATGTGAAGTGAAGCCGGTTAGATTTAAGGGAGGTGCAATCTTTGTGACTACAATCCTTGTTGATTAAGAAAGCAGAAATAGGGAACAAAGAAAACCTTTATTGAAATTAATGAAAATTGGAGAATCACTGAATCCCCAGAACCCTTCAGCCCCATGCCAGTTTTGGGCCAAAGTGCATATAAGCAGATGACTTTAGGAGACTTTGGTTTGAGAACCTGCATCAAATGCCTCTGAAATCCACGTCAGCAACCACCAGATTTCCTGATTCCAAGACTGAATGCAGCTCCTCCAGAAGTTTAGACAAGGTCCATTGTCACTATAGAGATTGATGCAGGAAAGGCTAATTTTTGTTGTACCAAGAGCTATATAAACCAATTGGAGATTAACCCCATCGTGAAGATAATTTTCTTCCTAAATATAGTATCTGCCATGGCTTGAACCAATGCTGCAATTACGATGAACTTTAATCTCCTACTGTTCTGAAGTCAAGAATACAACATGGGCAGAGTTGGTGTGGATCAAATTAGACAGCAACCAATTATCAACTTGGACCAGCATCAGCATTAGCCCTGTGGTTCTAGGACCCAGAGGACTGAACCACTAAATGTGGTTACATCACCAGGTGTAGGCAGAGGTGAAAGGTGTTATAATCCAAAAGCTTAGCACTTTCAAACTTTTATCTGTTTGAAACTATTGAGGAAGCATTTAAAGGACAGTAGCTCTCCAATGATGATGGGTGTGAGAAATATCTTGCATCTAGCTAAGAAAGGAACCATGAAACTTCTATGAGACAGTCATACCTGCATTCAAACAGGTGGAATATCTTGATTGAAAATGAAGAATATGTTGACAACTAGAGTTGAAGTTCTGAGATGTCTGTCTTCATTTTGTTCTGCTTTGTCTGCTCCTTGTGGTTATTTTTTTTTAATCATTTCATTCTAAACAAGGCAATAATGTCACTAAGATGCAAAAGGTTAATGAGTGCAAAAGAGAATGAGACAACTTTAGAAGGAACCAGGAACTCAATCCTAAACAGGAAACAAGGGATAACTCTCTACTCTTGTTCAATTGGTTGTGAAGGGATAGTGGAATGGGCATTACATTTTGGTCAGGATCCTTGTATGTGTTAGATCAAACATTCTTTGACTTCCCTCATGTACATCTTGTTCTGTATTCTACAATAAAATATTATAAAAGGTATTTTCTGAGATTCATTAACAATGGTTCCTGGAATTTTCTAACTTTGCAGTTCTGTGATGACAGGTGCAAATGGCAGGATTTGACATAAGTTGCTATGTAGCAGTATCAAGATTTTAGTGGTTGTCTTTTTCATGTCTCATGTTGTGAATAGGTTTTATTAATAAATTTTAACCTTTCAGCCTGAGAAAAAACTCTTGGCACAGATTTTCATAACAGACATTTTGATTTTGCACATGAAATATATTGGGTACTTTTAGTTAGGCATATTGTATAAACATTGCTTAGAGTTGTCAAAGGTTTCATTAGTTCAACCTTTTCTCATCTGAAAGTTTCAAAAATTTGATTTGAAACTAAATCAACCCTTTTCATTGAGCATTGTTATTATAATTGTTCTCCATTTAATCAAAATTCTTTTCTCCTTGTTTCCAACTCTTCATTGTTTTCATGTTTCAGTTCCTTAATATGGCTAGTTGAAATTAAAAGGTTGGTGTGGCTATTGTGCATTCCAAGTTGATGAGATCCAATTATAAAGATGCTTAATGATGAGCTTCTATGATGGCTGCAACTCAATTTCAGAAAATGTCATCGCTTTTTCACATATGAGTAGCACAGAAGTGACTTTTTAGTCCTGCTAGAATTTTACATTCTTTTGCACAGATGTGGCCATGTTGGGGCATCTCTTACTGTACTTGCTACATTAATTGATGAACTTTCAATGTGTGTCATCTTTGATGATTTTATTTTAGGCCTGCACTACTTAGACAATATACACTATATGAAATTCTGCACCAACATTCTCAGGGAAATCTACATCAAATTCAAAAATTAGTCATCTTATTTTGAATAACATTGTAAAATTTAAATTACATGTATGCATATTTTTAAATCATTATTAAATTTCTAAATTAATGTTGCTAAGATATTGTTTGTATTGTAATTTTGTTTTTTTCTTTTTCTCTTGTAGTTATGTGGTGTGTCCTACAGCAAAGATCTTCCGAATGCCTGACCCAGTCCGCTTGAAAGGGGGTCAGAGGACCTTAGAACAATTGCAAATAACAGATGATGATGATGAAGAAGACAGAACAACCAGTTGAGAATGAACATTAGGAAATGAGTAGAAAAAAAGTGTAATGAGATGAACAGACATTAAGAGACAAAAAAAAAAGTCATCATCATCATCATCAGAAGGCCAATAAAGAAATCCATTTTGTGCCCTGCAAGGTTTTATTTAATGTTTACAAATAAATATTCTCAAGTTGCACTATTTTTATTAATCTATCCAAGTTTTCTGCTTATTTCATTTATTTTAATTTTATTTTCTCTCACTGGTATGTTTAGTTAAATCTTTTCAGGATTATCTTCTTGAGTCTCAATAATCGTGTCCTTATACCATACTTAGTTTATTATAACATATAACAATGAAAACATTGTAGCATATGATTCACACCAGGAAATACCAAAAGCTCTGAATTGAATTTAATGTCTTAAATTTTGTTTTAACAGAAATTGATCTGTTGTGACCCCAATATGTAATGGGCTCACCCAAAGAGATAACAATATGGGCTTTGCATTGTATGTCTCACCAGAGTAACATAGGAGCCAGATGTATCAGAAATTTGACTTAGAAACACCAGTTGAAGGACTCAGGCCTCAAAGTACATCAGTGGCTGTCCCCGACATATAATCAAGAGGTTGTCCCAGCTGAGCTTATGATGTGTGCACATGTGGGACTATCAGATGACAGGAAGTTATATAAGAGCTCTATCCAAGAGTAAAAAACCAAAGTCTCTCATATCATTGCAAGATCAACGTTCAAAGAAAGTTCCCAATGCCACAGAATTTCATGTTGATATTATTTACTTCCGGATTTTTTCATGTAGTTAATTTTTTCTGGCTTGTAATAAACTTCCATGATCCATTTCGACCAACAGAGTAGTCGGACAAACAATCCAACAAGTTGGGTCTACAGCAGTCACACTTCTTCCCCTGTGGCCTCTTTATGCATTTTTATAGATTGATTGGCACTTGAAATTTATATATGTTAAAAGAGATTCTCACAAGAGTCTGTCCAACTCTGTGGTCTATTTATTTTGAATTTATGACTTGTGAAACTGCCATTTTCTTTTGGGGGATATTTTACTTGTGAAACGTGTCTGAATTTGTTTTCATCATGGAGGTAAGCCATTTTCTGTAGACTTACAATAAGTTTACATGTGAAAGATTTAGTTACGTGTACTTATTGGTCGTTACAATATAGCAAAGTAATTTCTCTGATTCAGCTAATTTTGACCATTGCTTTTGAGATGCAAAGGATTGGCTATCTGAATTTTTAAAAGTTAGTAGGGAAAAATTAAAATTGCCAAATGAAAACAAAAAAAATACAGACTTCATTTTGAATAATATGTTCCAATTAGTTTACTATTGTTATAAGAAAATGATGTCATTTAAAATATTTTTTCCCAATTATTGTTGTATTCTGCACTTTCATGAAACTGTTTTTTTCACTTCCCAACTCTGCATTGATCAAAACCACTGCCACCTGTTAAAGACAATAAAACTTTGATATATAGTAAAGTAAGTAAACTTCTAAAATTAAAAGAGCTATATATATATATATATATATAATGAGAGAGAGAGGCAGGTACATGGGCACATGCATCTGCACACACTATAAAAATAAAAAATAACTTGCACAAAGAAAAAATTGAAAAGTACAAACTATCAATTGTTGATACTCTCCTGATGAGCGGAAGAACTGATTCCTGGAGGGTCTGTTTACAAAACTCTGGAGTTGGGATGCTGAAGGTAACATCATTCAGCTAAACATTTTACTTGTATAATTATTTATACACAGACTTTGTTATTAAAAGCATAATATTAAATATTTTAATAAAAAAATTTTTGTCAGAACTATTTAAAGGAGGAATTATTATATGCTTTACTATTTGAACCAACATGATCATTTTGGTTGTTATACTTACAATGTTTTGATCATTATACCCTCTGGACTTTTTCAGGTGTCTGTCTTCATACTTGATAACCTTTTTGGAATTTCAAATTAAAACCATTAATGCAGTACACGAGTATCACTTGTTTTCATTCAGTTTTCTGTGGCTAGGGTGCATTTCATATCAGTTAATACTCCCTGACAGTTGTAAGTTCAATCCTGGGTCTGGTAATGCTGAAAAGTCATATATTCTGTTTCTGTGGAAGAAACGGACAATTGACCCAAAAATGAATAAGATATATAATGAATAATAAGTATTATGTATTACCTCCACTTTTTCACTGAAAAAGCAGCATACCATGATGTAAAAAGGCCCCAAACTTAATAAAATCAAAGTTTTAGCATCAAAATGTTTGTTATTATTAAGACGAAAGACCAAAGTATTTTTTTCATTTATTTTTTTGAATTTTTTTATCCTTACTAGCATGTTTTTGGTTAAAAATTGTTTTTTACATCAGCAGTTGATGTAATATTTACAATCAGTGTTTTTGCTTTTTTTTCTGGTAAAAAAACATTGATTTGGAAATTTTTGCAAAATTCAAATAATTGTTGGATTTTAATGAAACCTACAGGATTTACAAAAGAATAAAATTATTTTGGAATTTTTTTTTTTTTTTTTTTTTTTTTTTTTAGAAAATCTTGGTAAAATTTTTTTTTTTTTATACATATGTTACTCCCAACTTAATTTCATGAAATATCAAGAAATTAAATAGCAGACCCAAATTTTGTTTTATTAGTTAAAAGCAGAACTCTTTGGAGAATGTAAATCAATCTATTTTTCAAACTACTAATCATTTCCCCAAAATCTGCTCTTAATCTTAATATAAAAAATGCAATAAAACTGTGACATTATTTAATTAGAAAAACTTTTAATTGCTTTTATAAATAAGATTTATTAAGAACTATTTTCTTAAGAAAAAAAATTTTTTGATGAATAATGAATTCTTACAAGAATTGTTTATATTTTTTTAAAATTTTAATTATAATTTATAATATAAAATCATTTAAAATTCTGCACTACTTCAATCTATTTAGGTGATATTAAATGTTATTAAGTGAAAACTATATTTACGAATCAAAAACTGAAAAGCTCAATAAAAATGGTTTACACCAAATATTTAAAAATTTTAAAAAAAATTTTTATGTATATAAAATATTACATAGCTTGCCCCTGTTTGAAAGTATGGTTGACTATACATGACATAATCAGAAAGTAAAAATGCTGACTATAGTAAATTTAAATTCAACATTCCTAAAATTAGATTACAGAGAATATTTTCCAACATTTTTAAGATTACTGAGTACTTAGAAATTATATAAAAAAGGTGCTCACCCATCATTTTCTTAAATTGTGTTTTAACAGATAAAGTCTCTGTAGAACAACAATAAAGGTGTTGACAGATTTTATCATGGCTTGTCAAATGATCTATGAATGACAAACGACGGTGATAAGAGTGTAATCACCACTACCATTTGTTTTAAAAATCCATTTCTCTATTTTTTTAAATTGAAATAAATAATATTTTTTCGAATCAGATTAATGATACTTTAAATCAACTAATATTCCTCAAAGTTTCAGAAAATAATATTTTGGGAAAATTTTAAAACTGGGAAATAACTTCTGTTTACACATGTGTCAAAAATGTCCAATTCTATGAAAGCAAGCAAAATGTTGAGATTGCAATCAATATAATTTCTATTTGAAATACACCAGAGTATTTTGCTTACTGGAAATAGTAAATTTAATCATTTGGTTTTCAATTAAGGATAAAATGCTTTTTTAGTTTTTAAATTCATTTTAAACCTTAGATATCAAAAATTCAGTGAAGGTACCTAGCATTATGTGATATGAAATATCCCCTAATCATGGAAAGCAGAATGAGAACAATCAACCTTCATGAATTGAATAAAGTGTTCTGTTTGAAATTCCAAGAAGGTTACTAAGCAAGAAAGAAAAAGATTGTAAGTAGGCCACAGTGCACAATGGCTGAGACATGTGTAAAGCAACTAAGTTGAGCATGTTGGTTTAAATGGTAAAATTTGAGAAAGAATAAATGCAATAGTATCAATTCATTTGTATTCATGGGATGTCATCAGCTTATGTCTTTACAATATTTTTTTTCTCAATATTTTCAATCTTCATTTAAACATAAACTCTGAATATTTTTCTTATTGAACTTTCATGAAGTAGTTAATTGACTTCAGGGTGCAGACAGTGAAATCAGCAAAGCCAAGTAGAATTTCCTGCCTTGTCTATTGTGTTCACTTTTGTAGCTATGGGTTAAATAGCAAAGTAGACTGGGTTCTCTAACTTTGGATCGCAACTGATGTAAGAGAATGAAAACTGAATTCCAAAACCTAGAGAAGGCAATAAGAGCCCACTCTATGATCTTTCCCAAGAAATCCTGGCAATTTACAAGAGAAGTTTATCAAGTAGACCCTCATGTATTCTATTCCCAATCAACTGACCACATCCATCCACCAATGAGTCTACTATAATTATATGCTAGTTACAAAAATATTTCAAATAAAACTTAGACATTCATTTAGAAATTTTTTTGAAAATTTGTCAAAAATATGATCAACTAAAAGGTGTCAAGTGAAAGTAAAAACCTCAGCTAGAGTTTGTTCCATTTGTCTTTTTCACATACTGTCATGTGTGGGCACAAATTTATGCCTCTCTCTTTAAAAAAATAAAATCTTTGTGATAGTGAAAATCACTTCTCTCACATACATACACACAAGTTAATAGCTTAAAAAAACAAATATTCGACAAAATAATCTTTGTGGAAGTATTTAATTCTATGTGAATATTAAACGCATAGATTGGACACTATATAGTGAAAATTTCATATCAAAATTCAGCTAATAATGTCAGATTTATTGATGCACCCTTATATATAGGTATTCACTGAACTTAATCTGGTATTCAGCCCCTTCAAAGAAGCACACAATGAGAATTGAACCCACTGCAGATTGATTTACTAGATGAGCTTAACCATTGCATTACAGCATGCAGGTGACAATGAAGTGAACCCTTGTGAAGAGGCTTAAGGAAAAAGTGTTAATTTTTGTCCTTTAAGAAAA